AAAACCTTGGGAATTAGAAGAGTCCCTATTGTTGTAATGTGTTTTTCCATATTTTTTGCTTTTATTATGTGTTCAACCTAAAAAGGCATTAGATGATTCTACCTGGAAGAAGATCGGGCTATTAAAAACCTGCTATCAACATTTTAAAGGGATTCAAAGAAATTTTTTAAAACAGCGATAACTGCTTTATATTTTTAAAGACAGGGGTATTGTTTGATACTTATTTAAAAAGTCGATGGCTCTATTTATTATTATCATTCTTGAAACTCTTTATCTACAAAAATTCAATTACATCTTTTAAAAAGGGTGACTTTTAGAAACAAAAATTGTTTTCAATCTTTGATCTATATGAGGTAGAATTGCACGTATAAATAGACCTTAAAATTCTCTCTGAAGTTCTTACTTTTTACGTAACCCATAAATGAACATTTTGTAACAAAGTAAACTAAACTTCAGCTTTCCGACGGGTATTAAAACAACAAAAGATCATTTTCAGCCTGCTTTATCTTCAGAAATATTTATGAATTTAAGTCAGTCAAAAACGAGTCATTTCTCATATCAAGTTTGTCATTGTATATTGCAAACTGCCAAATAATTTCCTTGACTAATTAGGAAGTTTGAAAAAGTTGCTTGAGATTTGTAATATATAAACTACTTGTGCTTAATATATTTTATGGATTTAGTACGTTTTCAAGTTTTAAGGACTAATTGATTGCTAGTTAACCAATTAAGTTTATTCACCAGTTGCCTCTAGCTAATTTCCGCCAAAGAGTGAAAAGAACAATCATATAAAACTGTTGAAGCACAAATTGAATGCAGAGTGAAATATATATAACGAGTGCCCCCTAAGAGGAATTTAATTAGGAAAACGCTTTCAAGAACCGCCAATCGAAGGTGCTTAAATGATTATGCATGGTACCTGGTACAAGGGACCTCAGTTGGCGCACCATCCTCACTCGAATCCGCACAACAGCTCGCACGGCCACAGTGACTACCACCAGTTCCGCTCGTACCCCTCGTTCGTTGTGACCCCCTACCACGATGGTAGCCATCTCCAGGGCCCGGCCACGCCCACTCCCTGCCCGGCCCCGCCAACGCCCTGCAACGGTCCAGTCTCAGTTCCAGTCTCGGTTCCCGTCTGCCAGACCGGCGGCCAGGGGTCGCCAGTAATAGTCGAGGGCTCCTTTGCCGCCGCAGCCGCCGCCGCTGCCGCCGCTGCTGCCGCCGCCTCCGTCTCCGTCGGAGGATCCAGCTCCACGCCCCTGCTGCCCAGTCCGCCCATCAAGATCGAGCAGGTCTTCGGCGAGCCTTCCTCGCTGGGAACCGTCGTCGAGGATTACGCACTGGGACTTGACTGTCCCGTGGAGCATACGTTTCGGGTAAGCACACTGAGAGAAATTCGAAATTCCTTGCCAAAAAATACACAAATATTTAAGTTTACTATGATGATCGGAAAACTATAATTTTTGATCTACAGAAGTAAAAAAGTTCTCTTTACCAAGGTAGTTTTTAGGATTGGATGTGGATTTCTTAACTCAACATATTTTGAGAGCTATTATCCGAGTGCTATTATCTATTGATCAAATCAATAGAGTTCCTGATCTGCTATAAATCTAAGCGCTTACAAACATATTCTTTAGTGAGCCGTTTTGGATTTAAGGTCAGTTTTCGTCCTACCCTTAAGCTTCAAATGTTTATGCACTCTGATGGCTTGAATAAAATTTCGGTTTACCAGATAGACAAAAAACCGTTTAAATTATGAAATTTTAAAATTTTTTGTTAATTTGTTTGAGTGCTTATATCAAATTATTTTAATGATGTTAAAGGATCACCATGGTCAAGACTGTATCTTATAACACAAATTTTGTGATAAGGAAACAATTGTAACAATTAAAAATCGTCTCACTCGCTTAAGCCACACAAAGCAAGGAAGCGAAACATAATTTACTATTCTGGTTGTCACTAGGAAAATTAGACACAAAATAACTTTACTTTGTAATTTATTCTGCGAGAAATTTGTTGTATTTTGGAGCTTAAATATAATAAAAGTTGATTTATACATATGTTCTTTGAAATAGTAAAAAAAACCTAATAAAAGAAATAAAAATAGTTATGGATTACACTTGGCAAAATTCTTGCCATGAGTTTTATAATTGTTGTGTCTAAGTAGTAAAGAAACAAAATTTCCGTTGACACCAAATTTGCCAATTCAGAGTTAAAACTTTTTTGTGAGTCATTGTATATTTTAAGCTGTTATTATTAATATTAAAACAATTGAAATATTACGTAACCAAAACCAAACATTTACGTAATCCGACCCTACATTTTCAATGGTGGTTGATAAGCATAAAATTTATGACCGCTGCGCCGCTCTGTTTGTTGCCTAATTTTAGAGCAGTGTATGGATAATGTTATTATGTCAAATTGTTGGTTGGCATCCCCATTGGAGCAGCTGCTGCACTTGATTCCCCTCCTCTCCCACCACCGAAAAGTGGGCGTGCTCCAAATCAATTTCCATAAAATCATCCAATAACACTTAAAAGCCGAGCAGGGCAAAAAACCGAAATACACAAGTGGCAGGCGAGTAAAAAACACGAAAACAAACACGCCCCCAACTCGAAGAGCGCGCGAAAGAGCTGTTCGTTTTCTCTTTGGGGGATAGAAAGAGCGTGCCCCAAAAAAGAGAGCTCGTGCTTTCGAGTGTTTTTATTTGGGGAAATGCTCAAGCTCCTTCTTGGCTTTTTCTAAAGGCTTAAAGGATACTTTTTCCGAGATTGGTTCGTGCACAGGATATGCCATAATTGCCTGGCTTTCAAAGCTTTTCGCTAACTAATGGCGAAGTCAATTGGCTTCGAGAGGCTGGAGGAAAATTAAAGCAAATCAACAGGTGTCCTTTGCATGAAAGGACATGAGGGCTTGGAATATTATAAGTAGCTTTCAACCTGTGGAGTTCATTCGCATTGAAGGGAAGTAAAGTGAAATGATAAAATTCAATTTTAAGTTGCTTTAAATGTGTTACGGATGTTTTAATATTTAAATTTATATATTGTATTTTCATTAACATATCTGATAAGCCCGATATATGAAAATGTATTTACCACATATAAAAACTAGTTTGAATCAATATGATCCTGTTATTAAAATGGTCTAACTTGAATGAACATGCCATAATAAATTGTAACTACACCACTTGCGCATCTTATATCGCATAAATTTCAATTATCCCGCTAGAAACCATTTTTTCGTACTCTCTTCTGAGCTCTTAATGCATCTTAAAGGCCAATACCATTTGCTTTCCTTCCCGGCGATGCAAAATGGACGCACGTTTCTTACGCTTATCAGGACATTTCACCCACACAGCCCCACACATGTGTGTTGGTACTACAACTACGTAAGTGTGTGTGGACTGCCAGCAAAGGGCAGCTGAAAATCCTTGAACATAAAAGGAAAACAAGAAGGCAGCCAGCACATGCACATAAAAACATATGCTCCTGGACAGGATTTAGTTTGGGGACCCCATCCGCCGACTCGCTGCTCGCGAGACGTCGACTGCGACGCCGGCTGCGCTGCAAATGCAACTACTGCACTCTGAAATCGTTATCCTCGTTTCTGTTGGCAAAGGGTCTGGATGCTGGTCCCTCGTACTTCTTTTAAGCAAATCGGCTTAGAAGAGCGCTGCAAGAAAGTAATATTAATATGGTTTTGAATCTACCAGGAAGATATATTGCATATGGTATGGTCAAGAAAAACCACTAAAATATACCCAATGATCGCCGTTAATGATTTATGATCTAAATTAAGAGGAGTAAGAATTCAAATTCCAGGGTTCACGGGGAGTGAGATTTTAACATTACAATTTAAATATAATCGAAAAAAACAAGTTAACAATCGGCTCACTTTGATTTTTTCATCGGAATAATAATATTAAAAATAATAAAAACTAATACTTAGAACCATCTTTAATTGAACTCGTTTATCGAAACACCACTTTCAGTTCTTAGACTTATTCTAGGGATCAATAAATTCCTCATTGATATTCAGAATCATATGTACTTGAATTCGGGATTATGAATATGGCAAAGTATAGGTATAATTTTCAATAATCCATAGTTTCAGGATATGTACTAGGTATGTGAATATTTAAAGATCATTGTTTAAGGACTGAACTAAACTTATAAAATTGTCAAATGGGAACTGGATTTGTAACTTTATTGAATTCGTTCCTTGAAAATTTCTCAATTTCCGTTCAGAACCTGAAATTACCTCGATCTTGTTGCGACTCGGGAATATTCTTGAACGATTCTCCCTGCCGCACAGACACTGCCCCATTTAAAGGGGAAAAAATTGCAGCGGATAATAGAAAAACATTCAGAGAAATTGCACAGCAAGCGGCAACAAACAAAACAACGGGCTTCGCTGGCTGCGGAAAAAATAGTAAGAAGAAGGGAAATAATATAAACAAAATGAAGGAAAAGAAATTGGCGCTCGTGAAATGTTAACGGGGCCAGGAGGGCGTTGAGTTGAGCAGTGGCGGCGGCAGAAGGATATACATCTGCAGTTGGCCCGGAGCAGCGACGCCGGCCGAGGCAGCGACGGCGACTGCGATGCGGGCAGCGCTGAATGTTTTTATCCTTTCTTCGATGTGTCGTCGCGGCATTTTCCTCTGCTCCTGCCTGTGTGTGTGTGTGTGTGTGTGTGTGCGAGTGTGCCAGTGTGTTTGTGCCAGGACATCACACGGTTTCGCTTTTCTTTTACAACTTTTTGTTATTATTTCGTTTTTTGCTCGACGCCTGCAATGTATTTCTTTCAGTTTGCTGGCGTTTTTTTGCTTCATGTGCAAGAAAAAATACAATTTTACTTGGCTTTTTTATGTCCGAGTGTGTGTGTTGGTGTGTCTGTGTGTGCGTGTTTGTTACTGCTGCTTTCCCGAGCTCTACTTCTTGAGTTTCCTTTTCGCGCGCGCCATTTCGCTGCTGCTTTTCCACAGCTCCTGCTGCTACTTACCCGTACAACAAACATGGCCATAAGTCGCCGGAGCGGAGCTCGCTTCCGCTCTGCCTGTTTTCCTTTTTCACCAGTCGCTGCCCCTGCCTCTGCCGCAGTCGCAGTCGCAGCCGGCGTCGCTGTTGGCGTCGCAGTAACTGCGATTGTTGCATGTGGTCCGGGTTTGTTGCCTTTGGCGGGCTGCAACTCTCGTTGTCTTCAGTTCGCTTGGGCTTGGCCAAATCTATTGGTCGCGGTGCCGCGCTCGCGTCCGTGTCCACATCCGCATCCGCATCCGTGCCGCATCCGCATCCGTGTCCTGTCGCGGTCGACAGTTGCGGCCACCGCACTCCAGATGGCGCCTCAACGTGACCAGGGCTGAACAACTGCAATTAGGCCTGATTTGGGGGTGGATTCGGTACATCACAGAAGACTCCTGAGATCCATGTGCTTAAAAGGACGGACTTTATAACAAACATTTGGACAGGGCTAGTCATTTTTTCTGTTAAGGCTGATTAGAAATAGTTTTAGTCGTAGACGCTTCTAAATATACCAAAAGGGGCTTGGTTCTTATGGTAGTTCTCAAACACCAATATTCGTAACCCCTTTGGCGGTCGGCAACGATCCATAGGGAATAGTTTTGCTTAGCCTCTGCCGGCACCCGAACAGCGTACAACAGCAGTTAACACACACACATCGATAAGCTGCCGTGTGAAATACTCACACAAAAAGGATAAAATGTCAATGTATTCCGTGCCGACCACGGGAATATAGTAAAAAAATATATAATAAAACTCCCTTTTAACTTGATTTATTAATACTTTGATAATTCTTTAACAACTGTAGATTATTTATTTATTTAAGATGATAGTAGGGTCTACCAAACTAATACTAACATAGGAGGTGTAGTTCTAGCTACGAGGCTTCGACTACGTATTTATTGACTGTAAAATATATTCATATCCTCGATAGCTTTACAGGTTAAAGTGATAATAAAGTCACAAAAGCTTAGAGGAAGGATATACATAAGAATGGTCTTTCGGTCTGGACAAATGTTATTAAATGCTTAGCTTTCTGGATAACAAGAATAGGTTTCTGCCTCAATCTCAAAACTCGAAAAATATCCCTTAAACATAACACATATTTAATTTATTTTTGTCGCAATCTATAATTATGAATGTTATTATTTAATGTGGCATTTTATCGCAGTATCTTATAATGAACACATAGAGAGAGTTCATTTTTATTTATTTACTTATTTCTTTTTGTTCCAGTTTTAAAGCAAATACAAATAATCTCCAACATATTTTTTCTAGCTATAGCTTCTAGGGCCTAAACAATATGTGTTTACTTTTGGCTGATATTCTTTATGTTCGAAGTATACATTTGTTGTTACTTAACTAGACACCTTACACAACGCATTTTTGACGTATATAAAAAAAGGTTAAACATTTTTTTTAAGTCAAGCAGTTTTAAGTTCTTTTTATTAGGCAATTCTGCAACATCAGTTAGACTCATAGATCTTAATTGGATGTTGGCATCGAATTGATTTAGCTTTTGTGACTTTCCCAGCGATGCTCACTATTTTCTCAGTCTGATTTGGCACTGGCTTGCTCCCAAGCAGGAAAATTCCAAACGCTGTTTTTCTTGTCTACGCCTACGGCAAGCACAGCTTTTTGAAGAAAAACAGGCACACAGGACCTCTTAGAGAATGTGCAGCACTCACACAAACGCCGCTTGGAGACGGCGAGGAAAAATCAAAATAATAAAAATCACAAACATGAGCAAACCGTATAAAAGAAAATCAATCTGCCGCACCGCCCCGCCACTCCGCCCCTCCGCAAGTCGCGCAAATTCAGCTTTATTTTCTGTTTTTCCCCCGTTTTTCGCTTTTCTTACAAGAAAATGCTGCAGTGCGCGCTGAAACTGCAAATGTATGTCTTTATAACGGGCAGTGTGCATATAAAAAAGAGCAGGGGGGAATTATAAAATAAAAAAGGGCAGGAATAACAAAAACTGCAGCCGGAGGAAGGTTGCGAGGAGCAACAAAACATTCACAACACACAAGAGTCTCAGTTAACGCACACATACACCGCGGCATTCCTTTATGTTTGTCTGTGTGTGTGTGTGTGTGAGTGAGTGTGAGTGTTTGTGTGGGTTGTGTGTATGAAACATTCGCGCGCGCTCGCCATTTTCTTTTGCCTTGAGCTGCTGCACTTTGGCTTCCAGTTGGGCTCCTCAGTTGTTGCAGGTTATCCCACGCTCGCTGACGGACGGAGACGCAGACGGACTCACGGACAAGACTGCCGGACAAGCGGACAGCCGGACAGGCGGACATCCCCAGACCCACACAAACGCACCCAAGAGTCCAACTAGCTAGCACTCACACCCGAATCCCTTCTTATCAGCCTTCAAGTAAGGGAAAATGCGGAAAATGGTTAGCTGCGACTTTAAGTGGCGTATACGTGATATCAGCAGCGTTCAACGTGGCGTATACACAATATCAAAGCAGTGCCACAACCAAGGAAAGATGAAGTAAACTCCCTATTAAACGTGCAAAAGATATTGGAGATTTACCATGAAAACTTAGAGCCAAGCAATGGATTTCAAAATCAAAGTTCCTCCACAAAAGTGCAAAAATAAAATCATGTAAACTCCAAATCAAACCAAAACAAAATTGCAACGCAAAGTTCCTAACACCCAGTGCAAACTACATTTAATATACAAGTAAAATATATTCATATTTCACTTTTAACAAATAAAATAATCACTTAGTATTTTAAATAAATAACTAAAATATTTATTAAACCAAATAATCTTTTAAATAATAATAACCAATACAATTGAATACATAACAAACTCGACGGCAAAACCAAATAAACACACACCATTTGACGGCTAACTTAACACACACTCACCCACCGAGTGGAAATCGCAACCAACCAAAATAAAAACCTAAGTCCCGGCCACAAAATGAAACAATCATAGATGAAAAGTAAACAAGACCCAACCAGCTGAGCAAATAAATCAAAACGCAGAGACAACGAGCGACGAGCCCCGACAAAGTGTTTACTAAACAATAAACAAAACAAAAAGCCAACGAAAATTGGTCAACATATGCAAGTAAAAAGGATTCCTACACATGTCCATCACGAGGATAACCATAAAACTCATAAAAAATAGCAAACTGCCAGCCAGGAAAAGTTTTTCAAGGTCGTCGCTGGCAAGTTCCTGCTGGCAAATCATTTCTATTTGTTTCAATTTGGTGTGCAGCCGAAAAAAATAAAATGGGCGGAAAAAGTTTTGAAGTGCACTCCGCCCCCGCCATCTAAAATAAAATAAAAGTTAAGCCCAAATAAAAAGACATCAAATTTGGTTGCAAACTTTTTGTTCGCTTTCCGGTATGTTTTTTCAATGTGGGCTGTGTGTGTGTGGAAAATCAAACAAACTGAGCTTCAGTTAGATAAATTGCTGTAAGCGGGGGACTCCCCCTTTCGAAAGTGAAATTGTCGAGCGGGAATAAAAAGCGTTGCCTACATTTGGGCTTCACTGGGCTTGGTTGTCATGCACGAACTCATTGGCAAATACAGCCATCCGGACATGGACTTGCTGAAGGATCAGCTGAAGCGGGGTGGCTACATGGGCGCCCTTGGGCCGCCCACCCCCGGCGCCACCGCCCCCGCCCCCTCGCCATTCCTGATGCCCGCGGAATTCTACAAGAGCCTGTTCGCCAGCGCCGTTCTGCAGCAACAACAGCAACACAAGTTGTACGGCGGAACGTCCTCGCCCAGCCCCGCCCCCAGCCTATCACCGTCCTCAGGTCGCTCGCATCCACCCGGCAATTTGTTGTTTTCCACGGCAGCTGCAGCAACCGCCTGTGTTCCGGAGAACGGGAACGGTCCGGTGAAGACGGAGCTCGAAGAGCCGGATCAGGAGACCCAGGAAAACGGCGGACATGAGGAGCAGAAACCCATCATCGGAAAGAACCCAAGCGACAGTGTTAGTATGGGAGTTCGGGCAGAAGTAAATGAGGGGTCATAAATGGGATTTCAAGGGGTTTAATTTTGATTATTTTGGGATGCAGATAAGTACAAATAAAACAAGGCTTTCCTGTGTCTACACTCCCTGCATGGGTAACTCAAGTTGGTACTGCGAAGGACGCAACCCTTAAATTAGATTACTTGCCCCACAATTAAAACGTAATTGTCACATGAAATAAAATGTTTCTATCAATGCCACTTACGTCCACATGATACTTTGGTTACTTAAATAGTAATTAAGGGCTCTATTTTACTTAAAATCATTTATTTTGTTTTTAACAATGGCCTTGATGTAATACTCTTCTTTATAATTAATGGTTTCCTTGATCCTATTACTAAACTTTGAGAGGATACGTTCTTGACAGTGTATCTTAAAATTTGAGTATGAGTAGCAATTCAGCATATATTAGCAAGATAGGCCTCTGCCGACTGGTACATGGTATGAATGCCATTAAAAAGGCATTTCTTTTTTCATGCTCAATACATTAACCAACAAAATTTTAAAATGTTTGACGAAACCCCTTTTCACACAGGCAACAAACCATTTTTCATTGCAGAAGCCGCACAACAACAACGGCTACTCGTGGTCCACCGGCAACAACAACGAGGTTGTCAGCAATAGCAGCCACACCAACAACAACAGCCACCCCACAACACCACCCACTCCGCCCCACGAGGCGAGCGCCACCCAAGCGACTTCGGTGTCCGCAATTAATTTGAATCAAGCCCAACCCGCATCACAGACGCGTCCAAACTTTGGCAGCTCCATAAAGTCACCACCATCAGAACCGGACGCGGTCACCGTAGCCACGTGCAAAAGTCAGGAGAACAGCGCCGGCCAGAACCCCGCCTCCGACCCCCACTCCGACCTCAATCCGGCCCAGAACCCCGGCTCGAATCCAACGGCCGCTGCCGTGGCCGCCGCTGCCGCCGCCGCCGCCGCCGCCAACATGCCGATCGGCGGCGTCCAGGGCCAGAATCCCACCCAGGGCCTGGTCCACTGGATGAGTGCCGTGATGGCCGAGCACATGACCGGCCAGACGCACCACGATCCCGGCGCCGTGGGCATGCACTACATGTGGAACGGCAACGTTGACGTGAGTACCTCGGATTTTGATTAGCCGGGTTTGGGTGGGGAAATTTGAGAGGCGTGTCACTTATTATTCTAAGCCACACTGGAAAAGAACAACTATGGTTCAGGAATTCATATTTCTACCTGGCAGGGACTTCATTTTATGTTTTGGGAGTTCCTATTGCCACTTTTTATCGCACAAAGTACTTTATCAAGAATTTTTAAAACTTACTATTGGGGTAAATGCACTTATTTAATTTGATAAGTTCGTACATTTTTTAATCATAATAAATAGTCCACTAAAAACAAAATTTACAAGGTACCATAGATTAAATTACTCACTTATCAACATCCGCAGTTATAATGTTAAGACTGTTCTTTATTT